TTCGGGGTGCGACCAGAGTCACGGAATGAATTAAGTTCGTAAACCGAGGTTCCACTGTAATATAAACTAGGAAGGCAAAAAGAAAAAGAAAGCTAAGAGAAAGCTAAAAGTGCAAGAAAGGGGGGGAAAGTAAAAGAAAAATAGAAAAAGAAAAAAGATACAGAGAAGTATAGAAAAAATCTTTACAACAGTTATAAGTACAATTATAAATTTACCTCTTACCCTAAAGTTACAACATGACTCTCTTCTTTCTATAATCTATCCAGTCTAACTATCAAAACCATAAATCATGTTTTTTTTCTGTTTTATGCAAAAAGTCCATAGGGGGTTTCCAGACAGCAATAAATGTAGATATTGTCTTTTCTCTGATCAAAGAAGTCAATTGGACCATCTCAGCAAGTTTCATCATCTTCACCGATCATTCCTCCATTGTGGGTAATGCCGAATCTTTCCATCTTTGTGCATATAATAATCTCACTGCAATTATCATATACAAAAAGTTCCTTGACTTTTTTCCAATTGTCCATCAATCCCAAAAGAAAAACCTCTAGTCTCAATTGTATATTAACCTTTAAAAACATCTGAATCAGTGTATGTATTTGAATCCAAATTTTTCTAGCTTTTTTTCATGTTCACCAAGCATGATAAAATGTCCCTTCATGTTGTTCACAAGGACTCAGGAGGATTCTTGTTTTTATAATCATTCCAGGAAGAAGACCAAGTTTTGCAATGCTGGTGTTCTGTTAAGTACCAGATGTTTTTCAGTTACTTATGAACATGCTTATTTTTGGGAATTGCACTTAATTCATTTAAGATATTTAGATTATATCGGTGTTTCCATTTACTAACTGTAGATATTCAAACTATTTTCACAGCTGGTTGAGGAGGGAAAGAAGATTGAGATGACAAAAGACAGGGAGTCTTCAGTGGGAGACTAAAAGACAGAGAAACATTAAACTTCCATATCACTATGTGAAATACTCCTGAAAACTCAATTGTTCAAGTGATGAAACATAGAAATTACATAACTTCCTATCTCCATGTCTTCATCAACATTTCATCAGCATGTATTCTTTTGGTTCAAGCATTTCTGCCAGATCATTCTTCCAAATTTTAAATTTAGTTCTAGGCAGAGAAATTCTTTGGCATTTTTTTTGTACCAGTTCCAGTTGATGAAAGAGAACTTGCTTTAGATTTTTTTCAAAAGTGAAAAATTCAGAGAAATGCTTGTAGATGAAGTGTGATATCATTGCAGTTAATTATTTGACAAGATTATAAAGGGATGTTTGTGAATTGTTTGTCTTCATTGTATAATCTCTCCAACAGTCTGCAGGCTCCTTGGCCTCCCATGCTTCAGTTAAATTCAAGGG